TGGAGGGCGGATCCTGCTGGTCTTCCTTTGACTCACCAGACCTCAGTGCCAAGGGCATAATGGAGACCCGGTCATCATCTATCGCATGAATGAGTGGAAAGCGCTGACCTGGGAGCAAGGTCACCAGGCTATTTGTTCTGTGGCGCCACCCCTTCACACAAGCCTGGAATTGATTGGGCAAATATTTGGTGCAACAAGTCAGATTTCAAAACATCCTTTTGAAGCAAAAAAAAAAAAGATTTAAAGACAGGTCTCATTTAGAGATTTTGCCTGTCCAAAGCAGGGCCGGGGTCCTCCTCTGCCTTCTGATGCTCACTCAAGGGTCTTTGACCTTGTGTGGGCCTGGACAGCATTAACATGGAGCCCTAGCCAGCATCCACAGCTCAGAGCTCAGCCCAGTGTGGTGTCCCCAACTCAGACACCACTAGCAAGCAGAAAGCCCTCACCTGCACTTCTAACCCAAGGTCTATGCATGGGGGGGTTCCCGGCCCCCTCCTGGGGTTCAACAAGCCAGTGGCAAGGCAGAGCCCAGAGGAAGGCTTGGTCTGCTGTGTTAGTGCGGGAAGTAAATGGACACCAGATGCTGGAGGCCAGGGATAGGGAAGGGGCTTGGAGCTGGAGTGCCCACCTGCACAGGCCCTCCCCACATCCATGTTCAGGCTGCCATGTTGCTGGGCGGGACTGAAGACAGAACCAGGGGGCAGCCATGGCCTCCAAGTCCCTAGAGCCACCCTCCCTTCTGTGGCTCTCCCAAGGGGTGGCTGCTGTCTGAGGGACCCAGCCCTGCTGGCACCTGGGTGCCAGGTCTGCCCCAGAGGTGCTGGTGAGCACATTGTCTCCGCTCCAAGGTGCCTAGCTCACAGCCGTTTCCCTGGCGACCTTGCGTGTCAGCAGCTTCTCCATGGGGTAGGACGTTGTCTTGCTGTGTCCTGATGCTGACATGTGGAACAAGCGGTGTTTCTGTTTGTTTTCCTCTGCCCGGTCAGTTGGGGAGGACATATTCTGGTAGATTCTCCCAGGCTCAATTGTGAAGTCTCTGTGCAGTTTCTTCAACTGCAGTCTCTCCAACCATGTCTGTACTTGGGTCAGTGGTCTAGGCTGGGGGTCTCTGAGCACAGCGATGAGGCAGGGTTTGTTTGTTTGTTTGTTTTTGGTAGGAGGACTCCCTGGTGAATATTTCCTTTGGGTAACTCTCTCAAAACGCCCTTCTGAAGAGCAGAAGTTGACTCACTCCTCCAGAAAGTCAACCAGCAAAACACCTTGAGCATCCCCAAGAATCGTGGCCTTGGCCTTCATTCTTGACCTTCACTCTTGCTTTGGCTGGGCCGCCAGCTCCTTCATCACACTTTGTCTTCAAGGTTGAACGTAGGAAGGCATGTTTTGTTTCCCGTTACAGCTGTCCAAAGGAGTGCTTCAAAGCTGGGTCCTACTTGTTTAAAAACATCCACTTCAGCATTGACCTTGGGGCACAGCGAGTCTAGCCATCACGTGCCTTGTCGGAGTGCCCTCAAGGTTGTGGGCACACCGCTCCAATGCAACATCCTGGTCATGCACCTGAGAAGGCAGCAGGTGATGGGCCAAGTGTTTCAAGTATTTCTGCCTCTCCCACCCATCTGAGGAGCCAGAAAGGAATTCCCAGCTTCAGCCTGGCCCTGGCTGTTGCAGCCTTTTAGGAAATAAAGTCTAGATAAGAGTCTCTCTGTCTCTCTCTCTCTCCCCTTCCCTCCCTCCCTCCTTCTCTCCCATTCAAATAAATCTTTCCAAAGCTTTCCATAAAGCTCTTCTCTCGACTGCTCTGATGGGAACAGCAGCTGCAGCAGCCACGAGTGGCAAGGGTGCCGTGCTTCGGTTTTCGGAGCTGCACCAGCTGACCCAGCGAGATGTCCGTGGGGCTGGTTGCTGTCTGCTGGTGCTCATTGCCAGTCTGTAGGCACTAGTGGGGAACGTCTGGCCTGTGAATTCATTGGGCCTGGGCCTGCCAAGGCAACAAAGGCAGGACTTGAAATAAACACATCTACGGCAGGCTAAGCTTTATGCTGATCATTTTGCATGGTCCGTACATGATGTTACAAACATTCAAACAGTCCTAGGCCAAAAAAAAAAAGTCAACACCCCTGCACAGAGCATGAACAAGTTGACATCACATTGTTGCTTTTTCCAAGGCAGATCCATTTTTTTTTTCAAGCCGTGGGTTTCCTTGAGGATATTGTTCCTGTAAACCTCTGATTAAGCATCAGTGACATCACCATTCTGTGGCTCTGAGAGGGATGGTTTCCCCAGCTGGTGTTGTCCAAATCTCAAGCCAGGTCCTATGCAGACAAGGTAAAAGGCAGCTTTGGAATCCACACATGGTGCTATCACAAGACGTCTTTACTGTGAACATCTGAGGATGCCTCGCCCATGTCTGTGCGTCTGTGTGTAACTGAGACAAGTGTAGGGGTGAGGATGGATCATGTGTGTCCCATGTGTTTCTGTGTGTCACCTGTGTGTCTGTGTAGCTGTTTCTCTGTGTGTCACCTGTGTGCCTGCACCTGTCTCTGAGTCTGAAGCATGTGCACGTGTCACTGGCAGGGACCTTGACACCCTAGCCAAAGTGAAGACGCTCCCAATTCCAGTACCACCAAGGACGCCCTGGACACACCTGGCTCCTGGCACTGCCCCCTCTCTGCCTAAACAAATGGCTTCACTCCCTGAAGGGCAGACTCCCAGGACAAACTCCTTGGGAGAAACAAACCTGGTGACATCACACAGCTGGCACTGCTGGATGTCCCCGAGGCTCACTGACTCTACACAGACACCCTGAAGCGCTGATCAGGAGAGAAGCACCTGGGTCTCCAGGGCCACAGGTCTCACAGGCGTCCCTTCCTTGTGGTAGGCCTGGCACCTGCTGTTCTGCTGGACTAAGCCACTTCAGGGCAGGACACCAAGGTCCTAAAGGGTCATAAATTTCAGGCAACACAGACCAGGCCAGAGTCTGAAAGTGCCCCAGGGTTATTTGTAGGACAGGAGTCTCTGGCTCTACAGGAACCCAGTGTCCCCACGCCCCCTGGACAGGCCTTTAAAGCTCCAAAGGCTGTGCTGAGTAAGGGACTCCAGCGCTGTGCACCTGCAGGCTCTGCCCAGCCCTCTCTCCATCAGCCTCCTCCTAAGCTGCCGCAAGGGTGAGTGCTGGGCCCCACCCCTCCCAGGGGAAACAGGCATATGGAATGGTGCCTCCTATGAGCAGAATCAGGACTGAGTACAGGCGGCCGGCCTCAGCCTCCATGCAGGGAAGTCAGCTGGGAGGGTGCAGTGGCCTCATGGGGCAGCTCCTGGTACACAGGGCACACACAAGGCAGGTGTTGGAGCAGGCGATGCCTGGCCACTCCTTGCACTCCATCTCTCACTTTGCCCTGGCCTGAACTCACCCTGTGGCTACCTGGACCTCAGCTGAGCCCTCCCACCTACAGGGTCCTGAGGAGCCCCCTAGGGACAGCCCCTCCCCATGTCCTCCTACATGGGGCTCCTCCTTGGGGTCCTTCTTCCTCCCCACCCCAGACCCTGTGAAGCCCCAGCAGAGCACAGTGCCAGACCTTGGTTCGTGGGTTCCTGGCCTCATTCTTGCCTACCTGGAGGGGAAAGGGGGACCCTCTGACCTCTGGCCCACAAGGCAAGTGTTTACCCAGAATCCCACAAGACTCTGGGTCCACCTCCTGCCTAGGGGTCCTGCCCTTGACCTCCTGGTCACACCTTTATGTCTGCAAGGTCGCAGTTTGTTACTGCTCAGGGGTTCTGGCTGCCTTTCCTGTCGCCTTGACCTTGTCTCAACTGGGCTCACGGCCCTCATCCTGAAGGCTCAGGGTTACAACTCTTCTCAGAACAGGCCAAGGCCTGAGCTCACCAAGGCAGAGTCGAGGGCTGGTCCCAGCTGCCATGGGCTGCAGGTGGGGTCAGGGGCGGAGCTCTCTGAGCCCCTCTCCCTGCACACCTGCACTAGGCTGAGACAGTGCAGGTCGGTCCCCAGCAGTGCTGGGCCCAGGGCTGGGCAGCAGGTGGTGGCCAGGACAGGCCGCTGAGCTGCCGGCAGGAGTCTCAGCCCATGTGGGGCAGCAGGCCCCTGTGGGGCATGTCCATCAGGGCTTCAGGAGCTATGGCCCCCGGGGACATCCCAGCAGGCACAGCTCTGAGCCACTCCCACATTGGGGATTGGAAATTCCCCCATGGCCTCCTTCAGGCCTGACCCTGCAGGCCATGGGGGAATCCTGGAGGTTCCCAACAGGGCCCCACCTCAGGTCATAGACAACAGGTGGCTGTGATATAACCAGCATGCCTGATTCCAGCCCAGAGTGCCCCAGTTCTCACATTCTACACATACTTCCCTCTGTCCCCAGTCTGCCAGACCCACCTCACCCTGCACTTGAACTTGGCTTTCATTACTGGCTGAGCCTGACACCCTCTGTGGACTGGGTAGAGCTGCATCTCAACAGCCCAGAAGCCAGGCCTGGCCCTGAGTGCTTCCATAGACATGCCTTTCATCTGGAAGTGTGGCTCCATCCTACAGGGTAGGAAAGGCGAGGCTCATAGCGACTCAGCAACTTGCTCAAGGCCACCAGGCCAGGCTGAGCTGGGACCAGTTGAATTCTCCAGCCATCGCTTGGGTATCTGGGGTTGAGTTTGCTCCTGGACTTGCTTGCTGACCTTGGGTGTGGCCTGGCCTCCTGAGCTTTGCTTCCTTGTTGTCAGTCGGGGGTGGGCTGCCATGTGATAGGTGTGCTGGGGTAGCAGTGCCAGGGCCCGTGAGAGCCAGGGCAGTGCTGGGCGGGTGGCGAGCTCTGCACCCATGTGGCCATGTGTCTGATGCCTTCAGTGATGAGGATGGTGGAAATGCTGAATCCTGCCTGGCGCTTGGCCGAGGGTTAATAAGATCCTGGCTGCTGTTACCTGATGTCACCACTTAGCCAGAGGACATCATCAGATGGGCCCATCTCAGGAATTGTTGGTATTTTTTGTCTTGCAAGACCATGTCATCCTCTCGTTCATGGGGCCTCCTGCTGCTCACAGTCCTGACTCACCTGCTCTCAGCACCGGCGGTAACAGGTGCCAAGGAGAAGCCCAAGCCTGCTCAGGCACACCCAGAGCATGCCGAGGAGCCTGCTTGCCAACACCTCCTCAGCCACCTCACCGACCTCTTCTTCTCCCTGTTCCGGGAGACAGCCCAGTCATCAAAGGACAGCAACGTGATGCTCTCCCCGCTGAGCCTCACGGCCGCCCTGGCCATGCTCTTGGCAGGGAGCAGAGGTGACAGCCACACCCAGATCCTGCAGAGCCTGGAGCTGCACCTCACAGAGACCAATGAGACCCTGATCCAAGCCTGCTTCCAGCACCTGCTGCAGACCTTCCAGCACGCACAGGGCCAGCTGACGGCTGGCAGCTTCCTGTTCGTGGATCAGAGCGTGACGCCCAGGGACGCATTCCTGGAGGACATCAAGCAGCTGTCCCACCCGGAAGCCATCACCATCAACCTCAATGACACCCCAGGCGCCAAGATGCAGATCAATGCTTTTTTGAGAAGAGAATCCAGAAACGAAATCAGGGACTTGGTGGGAGACCTGGAGAACGGCACAACTCTTGCCCTGGTGGCATACGCTTCCTTTCATGGTAAGGCAGGGCCAGCAGCCGGAGCTACTGTATCTGTCATGATCCAACTAGAGCCCCAAACCGCCAGCTCCTGCCCACCCTGTCCCTAACATTACAATGGAGGACACACCAGAGGCTCTTCCTCATTCCACTTGCAAAACAAGAAGGTTGGGACAACCACAGGCAAAGCAGTGTCTTCCCCAGGGGTGAGAGCTGCCCCTGCGTGAGTGCTCATTCCAAGGCCAGGGAGTAGTCCGGGGCATGCTTCTCTGCTGAGGAACCAGACAACCAAATCACCTCCACCTCTGGGACTCAAGGGGACATTTCTCAGCCCTTTCTAGACTCACACAAGGCTGCTTAGCTCTGGAGTCCACAGGACGTGGGCCCAGCCCCTGCCTCCTCGCTGCTTAGCTCTTGACCCTGGAAAAGCTATGTGGCCTCTTTAGGGTGCTACTATCTGTCTTGTCACGAACAAAAACCCTGGGTATGGGAGGATCACCCGTGCAACAAATGTGGGAGTGGGTGTGGCACCTGGCTAGTGGTCAGGTGGCATGGAGTCCCAGCTGCCTCCCTGCCTGCCTGCCCTGAGTCTGTGAAAGGTCAGGAGGACGGGGCCCCCCACCCCATCCCAGGAGGGGACCAGGGGAGGCTGTGGGAGTCTAGGCCAGGGGCTCGTCCCTGCAGGGGAGAATCCCACAGTGCAGGACACCCAGGCCGGAACTGGCACCACTGAGCTCCCAGCTCTGCTGAGACTTAGGGATCGTCTTGTCCCCTTCCCCTTCCAGGGAGAAAGGGGGGTCCTAGGGTCCCAGGGCACCTGCCGCTCTGGCTGCTTGATGGTGAGGTCCTCTCGGTGTCCCAGTCAGGGCTGGCCTGTGCCCCTACATTCCACCTTCAGCTCCCAGGATGAGGCCCCAGGAGCAGCACCCCCAGAACCTGTCCACCTGCCAGGGAGCCCCAGGGTAAGCAGCTCTGGAGCTACAAACAAGGGGAGTCTGAATCCACCCCTAATTCTCAGTAAACACCTCCAGGCCTCCATCGCAGACATTCGGCAACTGCTGGCTGTGTGAGTGTGTGTTGCCAGTTAGCCTGAGACAACTTCTAGAACCACCTGTGACCTTGGGATTCACACAGAAGTAGTTCTAAACTCTGGTGTTTGTGCCCCATTGTGCAGATGATAAAGCTGAGGCTCAGGGAGGCAGGTGTCATCTGAGAGGATCAGGGCTCCGCACTAGACACAGGTCCCTCACTTTGACCCTCACCCTGCCATGCCTTCAGGGAACCTGCAGGATGAATTCCACACAGAGAACATGGTGGAAAAGAACTTCTTTGTGAACAAGAAGACCACACTCAGAGTGCCCACCATCAACCGCCTGGGTGCATTTGACCTCCACCGTGACGCCAGCTTGTCCAGCTGGGTACTGGTGCAGCACTACATGGGCGACACTGTGGCCTTCTTCGTCCTGCCCGACCCAGAGAAGATGGAACAGCTCGAGAGAGGAATGACCAAGGAGCAGTTCAACAACCTTCTGAGATCCTCAGGTGACATCAGGTGACTGCCAGGCACATCACACAGCAGTGTAGACTTGGGCCTGGGCACAGAACAGAGACCAGGAGAGGCCGCCCCCAGAAGTGACCACAGAGCCCGAGAGCCAGTCCACCTGCTTCCCCCATACCCTGCCAGGGCCCACTCTAGCTGAGCCTTGGGCCAGCATGCCTGCTGGGCTCCTCCAGGCTGGCTGTCACTAGGCACCTGCCACTGTTACCCATGGTCCCCAGGGAATTAGGCACTGGCGAGTCCCAGGCTTTTTAAGGGGGGTGTGACTGAATATAGCAGGGCTAGATCAGGGGTGCTTCCAGGGGTATCCTGGGCCTGCCTGGATGGCTGCTCAGAGGTGATGACATTTCAGAAGCTGGCAATGCAGTTATCCTGTTGGTGCTGCCACTGACAGCTGGTGCGATGGGGCTAAGAGGAGACAACCACGTGGGTGTGGGGGAGGGGCCGTGCAGGGGTGATGTGAGACACCCCTCAGCAGCCTCCATCATCCTCCCTGTGTGACAGGCCTGCCAGCTTGTACTTCCCTAAATTTTCCATTTCTGGAACCTACCACCTGAAGCCCTTGCTGGGCAAACTAGGCATCACCAAAGTCTTCAGCAACGAGGCCGACTTCTCGGGGATCACGGAGCAGGCCCCTCTGAAGCTCTCCCAGGTGAGGTTGCCCTGAAGACTGCTGCCTGGGGGAAGGGCCCAAGCCCGAGGCTGGGGGAAGGTCAACGACACGCAGCAGGTGCAGACCTGGCTGCTCCTCGGGATGCACCTGTGTCCATGTTACCTTGACCCTGCGTTTCCCCATATTGCAGTGAGAGACTCTGGCTCAGTGAGTCCTGCCCTGCCCCCTCCACCCTAGTGGGTAGCGATGGCAGGGGCAGAGTGACAGCTGTCCCAGGAGGAGTCCAGGATGGCAGGGTCTGAGTGACACTGTCCCAGGAGGAGTCCAGCAGCACCACAGCAGTCACGAATCCCGTCCTGTCCCCGTGCAGTGTGAGCCTGGGGTGCATGCCGCCTGGGGACATCTCCTGGCCTCACCTCAAAGAATCTGGAAATCACCAAACCAAGAGCCCTGCAGAGGTTCCTGGGGAGGCTGAGGCCATCAGCTCCTGCTGAGGCTGGGGGTACAGCCTAGGGGACTGAGAGAAAGAATGGAGGATGAGAAGTGATGCAAGCAAAGGCCTGAGACACAGAGAAAGACCTGGTGTGAAGCCAGGGGTCGGGGCACAGCAGGTAAGCTGCCGTGTCCCCACTGGCCTTATCCAGGCTCCACCCTCAACTCTGTTCTCTGCCCTGTAGGCCGTGCACAGGGCAGTGCTGACCACAGAGGAACAGGTGGTTAACACGGAGAAGATGGTGCCCCTGAAGGAGGGTGAGGCCTTGATCACCGAGAGTACGTATCCAGAGGACGTGTGGTCCCCGCAGCCCATCTCCAAGTTCAACAGTCCCTTCCTGGTCATCCTCAAGGATGACAACACCAACTTCCCCATCTTCCTGGGGAAAGTGGTGAATCCTACCCAACCCTGACAGCCCCTGAGCCTCAGACTTGAGCCCGAGACCCCTACACACACACTCCCCCAATACATTAAAAGTCTGAGCCACCCTCCCCGGGTGCACATGCAAACCCCTTCCCAAGTCCCTGTGTCCCCAGAGCCTGAGATCACTCCCTGGCCCACACGAGCCCAGCGGGTGGGGAGAAGTGTAGGGAAGCCTGCACCTCAAGGCTCTGAGCCCGTGTGAACACCGTGGGGACTTTCTAGGTGTGTCGGACAATCCTGGAGGAACAACAGGGCTCAAACTCCAGCCAGGCCCAGCATTGTCCCAAGTCCTCCTGCTGACCATGCCCTGCCCCTCCAAGGGCTTCCCCGCCCACTTCCAGGCTGCCCGCCCACCCAGGCCTAAGATTCTGTTGAGTTCCTTGTGACAAATAAAACAGTAGACAATCATAACAGCAGGTGTCAAGCAAAGGGTCATGTCTATGTGCAGGAAGAGGGAGGTGGAGAGGAAGAGGCTACAATTGTTATTTTTTGATAGGCCTGTTCTCTGCAGAACTGAAGGTGTCACATGCCTCCCATGACCTAAGAATGTCCCACTAGGACACTGCTCCCCAAGGTTCAGCCACCTCCACGGAGCATCAGCGTGCAGAACAAGCCTCGGGCACCATGGCCCCTGGGAGACACTGAGACCACACCCCAACCCGACCCAAGTGTCGGAGCCAATCACAGCACACAGATGCAGCCACAGCTGAAGGCCAACCCAAACACACCGAGCAGATCAGCTCTGCGGCTCACTTCCTTTCTTTCGGTTACCAAAAAAAAAAACCTTCTTTGCCCAGGAGGTTCTGACCACATGTTGACTGGGGTCTGGTGCTGGTGGGAATGTGTAGTGGGACAAAGGGGTCACTTCCCAAAAGTAGATGGCAGGTCAGAGTCAGACATTTACAACAAATCCCCCCCACAAGAGCAAACACGGTGGTCCTAGGGGCTGCAGGACCCTCTTCAGAGAGAGAGAGGCCCAACCAGTTACAGCACGTCTCACAGGTCAGACACCTCACAGTCAGGTAAGACCCAGTCTTACAACACGTGAATCCTTGGATCGCAACCATAGAAGCTTCCCCTGTGCAGGGACCCTGTTTGCTCAGGAAGATCCAAGCAACAAGTACAACACTGAGCCAGGAAACACAGAGGTGTGACCCTGACCTCAGCCCCAAGTTGGCAGAGGATAAAATGTGTGCATCATTAGCGACACCAGGGAAAGGCACTGGCATCAGGGTGAGCTGCCCCCAGCCAGGACACAGGAGCGCGGGTGGGGAAGCAGACTCATACCAGAAACCTGGGGACAGAGATGACCCAGCGGGCTGTGTGACCCAGGGCAGGGTCCTGAGCTGCTCTGTGCCACGGGCTCCTCTTCCGGAAGATGTGGCAAAACATGCAAGTGGCAGGTGTCCAGGAGAACTCAGTGCCATAACTCCTTCGTGGCTCCCAAAGCCCTGTTCCCATGGTGGCCTTGCCATGGCCACGCCCAGCCCAGTTCTCCTGCTGGGCCCAGGTGCTGGTGCAGCCCAGGGGCCTGGGCCTCCCCTGCTGAGGAGTCTGCACCCAGCTCAGCAGGACGGCTTCTCATGGCCTGTTTCCCCAGGATAAACCTGACCCCCAACATGCCCTGTGGCAGGGGCAAAACTGGAATGTCCCTGCGTCCTCTCTGCTTGTCCTTCCTCCTCAAGGTTGGCACTGGCCAGCCTGATGTCTAGGGTGGACCAAGCCCCTGTGTGCCCCTCCAGGACCTGCAGAGAGGAGCCACACGCCCTTGCTGTGGGTGGCCATGCTGGCCTCAGCTGCCCTGTGGCTGCAGAGGAACCCTATCCCACCCAAGGGCAGCCAGCAGAGTGAGGGCTGCACTCCGTGTCCAGGTGAGGACCTGGTAGGATCAGGTCCTGGGAAAGGCCAAGGCAATCCAACAGGAAGGCCCCTAAGAATGCTCTAGTTACAAGGGGCTCAGCCAGTGTTACTGCAAGCCTGTGCAGATGGGCAGGTGGCAAGGCCAGGGGTTAGGGAGTGCAACAGCAGGTCAGCCAGCAGGGGGCGCCCCACACTGGTGGCTTTGAGCAATCCACTTGAGTGGTCAAGGGGTCCTGCCTAAGACTCCCCTGACTGAGGTCAGATGCCTTCTCAGAACCTGGGGAACAGTTCCTGCGCCACATCAAAGGCGTCAGAACCTTTCGTCTGGATCCTTTAACAGAACAGGGATCAAAGCCAGAACAGCGTGTGATGGAGAAGTGATGTGTTTCATAGCAGACAGTACCAGCCTGCAGGTACATTCCTGAGCTATCCTACAGTCCCTGGGGTCTGGCTGGAGACCAGGCTAGAGCTGAGTGAGCACAGGAACCCCAGCCCATCGTGCCCCTTGTCGATGACCTGTGCAGCCCATCTTGTTTCTCTGACCACAGGGAGCTACTGGTCAATGCAGAGGGCACACTCCTTCCCTCTGGGCAGCACAGTTCCCTATGGGGTTGCCCTTGGCAGGCCAGCAAACAGCATCCAGTTTGGTTGAATGGGAGGCGAAGCCAGTGTTCCATCACTCACACAAACAGGGAAGACAGGAGAAGTCAGACCATGTCCTCCATTTGCCAGCCAATCTGGGTTGAACTCCACCTGCTTCTGCCATGAATGTGTCCCTTAGTTGGGGACCCCCTGTCCTCGGGCACCTTGGCATTCTCAGCAGCAAAGTGTAGGGGCTGAATGCCCCTTTGGTGTCTTTCGCGTGGACTTGCCCACTCAGGAAGGTCTCGCCATTCTGTTGCCTGCCTCCTCGCTGCCTCCACACTGAGCTGCAGCTGGTCCTGAGCAGGCAGACTGGACCCACGCCTCACGGGCGCCACAGTGTGCAGACCGTGGCAGTGAGGCACTAACCCCAAGGCCCCTCTTAGCTCCAGTGGCTGCTGCCACGTTCCGGTGACAAGCCCGGGAATCCGCATGGCAAGCCTGGTCCATGAGGACTCCTGGTCTCTTCAGCTCAGCAGGCAGAGGTCCATCGGTCTCACTCCTGTAGCATGCCCTGCATCATGATTGGGGCCCTAGATAATCCAAGCCCAGTCTCAGGGGTCTCCCCTTGCTTACACCTGGGGCAACTCCTTCCAGCTTACAGGGAATCTCCCCAGATGGCACTTAGAGAAGAGCACAGCTCTGGGACCCTTGCTGAGCCGGCCACAGGCTTCCAATGTGGGATGCACAGGGCCAGGAGAGGAAGAGTAGTGGGAGACTGCAGGAATACCCAGGCCCAGCTGGAAGCCTATGGCCCACTCCAAGGAGGGGGCTAGGCGGACGGCAGAGAGCGGAGGCCCCAGCGGCTCCTCCTTCCTGACCACCCACAAAGAATGCTTCTAGAAGCAGTGAAGACAGAAGGGGGGCAGTTCGTTAGGTGGGGAAACAGGTGTTGATGGCACCGATTTGGGGAGGCAGGCAGCTACTCAAGAGGGCAGAGAGAGGGGTCCCTATGGGAGCCGAACCCTGTCTACCTGCAGGGCCCACATGGCAGCCCTCGTACAACACTCCCCCAGCCTCGTCATGCTCAATGAGACAGCATCCTCGCCAACGTGGGCGCACATGGCACTATCACCAGGGAGGGCCCGAGTCACTCCAAAGTGCTCCAGGCCCCATCATCACAGGGGAGAATTCAGACATGTGGCCTTTGCGGTGTCATGTGACTTGGAGCAGTGGAGGTCTGGACCCTATGTGCAGAGTCATGTGTTACAGGGCACGGGAGAAGCTCTGGGAAGGACAGTGTCAGGCTCAGTCCGTCCTCCAAGCACAGCTCTCACTGAGCTGAGGAGAGGGAGCCTTCTCTGACACTCAGTGCCTCCCACATCCTACCGGGCACTGCCCCCGCTCTAGGCAGATGCCAGCTTCCAAGATCAGACCTCCCAAGACAGACTCCCTTGAACATCACACAGCTGACGCTGACCGACATCTCCAAGGCTCAGGTGCATTTATGGGCCCTGGACGCATGAGGATGCATTGACTCCGGGTACGATGCCCTGAGGGCCTGGCTGATCAGGAGAGAAGCACCTGGGTCTCTAGGGCCACAGGTCTCACAGGCGACACATCCTCGTAGGTGGCAGAAACCCGCCGTTCCGCTGGACTAAGCCACTTCAGGGCAGGACACCAAGGTCCTAAAGGGTCATAAATTTCAGGCAACACAGACCAGGCCAGAGTCTGAAAGTGCCCCAGGGTTATTTGTAGGACAGGAGTCTCTGGCTCTACAGGAACCCAGTGTCCCCACGCCCCCTGGACAGGCCTTTAAAGCTCCAAAGGATGTGCTGAGTGAAGGACTCCAGCGCTGTGCACCTGCAGGCTCTGCCCAGCCCTCTCTCCATCAGCCTCCTCCTAAGCTGCCGCAAGGGTGAGTGCTGGGCCCCACCCCTCCCAGGGGAAACAGGCATATGGAATGGTGCCTCCTATGAGCAGAATCAGGACTGAGTACAGGCAGCCGGCCTCAGCCACCATGACCCCAGACCCTGTGAAGCCCCAGTAGAGCACAGTGCCAGACCTCGGTTTGTGGTTCCCAGCCATACCTTTACCTCCTGGAGAAGGAAGGGAGGCCTCTGACCTCTGATCCACCGCTACCATGCAGCCAGAATCCAACAGTACAGTCTGTCTGGACCTGCCTCCTGCCACAGGGGCTCTACTGGGGACCTCCTGGCTGCAGCTGCTGGCCCCCAAGAGAAAAGTGTTAATCCTCAGGCAACCCGGCTCCCTTGGCCATCGTCCCTCCCTCTCTCTGCCCTGCGCCGGTGCCCTGTCTTCCCCATGTCTCCCCTCACTCAACCTGCTTCAGGGAGTTTACAAACCCACCTGCCCACCCAGCCCTGCCTTTGCCCAGAACCATGCCACTGGGTCACACAAGGTTGGGCCTCCAGGGTATCTCTCTCCCTCTGCCTGCATTCCATGCTGAGAGGAGTTGAGGGGCAGCAGCCATGTTTCCGCGTTGGTCTAAGTCACACACAGCCACTGGGCTGTAAGGGCTGCACCCCAACCCAGTCATCTCTACTTAGTGAGTCACCTCCTAACTCTGCAGTGCTTCGTGCTTCCATCCTGCACATCAGAGGCAGCAAGATGCGTGTTATGACCGAAGGTGACATCTGAGAACATCGCAAGGATGAGAGCTGCCTCCCAGTATTTGCACCTGTAGACGGGCTACGGCCTGATAACTCCACGCAGGGGCACAGCGGCTGATGTTATAGGTTGATCGTATCTCTGTGTTGGCACGTCTGGCCCTGGCAGTGAGCTCTGGAACAAGGTGGATTGTGCCAAGGAACCCAGGGACCCTGCAGGCTTCCAGAGCTCCACCCTCAGCCCCACCCAGCTGCACCTTGCGCCCACTTCCCTCTGTATGCTTTCAGGAGCATGCTCAATTTCCACATATTATTATAGTTTCCATTTTTCTTTAAGCTAATGTTCAGAGGTTTTTTTTTTCCATTGTCATAAGAGAAGACACATAATATCATTTCAGTTTTTAAAATGTCTTGAAATACAATTGGGGGCCTAGCGCATATCCATATTTAAGTGTTATTGAGAAGACTGGCAGTTCTGGAGCTGTTTGATGAAATCTATAAATGTCTGTCAGATCCATATTCTTTGTAATTCTCTTTCCACGGATTCTACTTTTTCCACTGATAAAAGTGGGGTGATGAGTGCCCCCCAATAGTCACATCAAGCTCCACCCTTCCCTTCAGATCTCACAATATTTGCTTTCTAGATCTGCATGGTTCTGTTTGGATAGACACATTCACATATGGTTGGATCATCTTGCTGATTTGACTCTTTGGACAATGTATAATGACTTTATCTCTGTTTACACGCTTAGTGAATGTCTGGGTTTGTACATTTATTTGGTTGAGAGAGAGAGAAGAAGCAAAACAGGCAGACACACAGCCACAGGTTTAGTCCCCAGACACGCTCAATGGCTGGACCAGACCAGGGCGTTGGCTGGGAGCCAGGAAGGCGACCCAGGTCTCCCACATGGACAGCAGGAACGCAGACTGAGTCATCGTCATTGCCAGCCGAGCTGTACATGGGAGGGAGCAGCAGCAGGAGCCAGACAGAATTCTTTTTGTGTACTGTGACCTGAACACAAGTGTCTTAAGTACAACAAATGTGCACTCCATGTTGTATCCGACGTGGGTACAGCCACTCATGCTTACTGTTGGTGTCTGTTAGCATAGGATAGCTTTTCCCCATCCTTCTGTTTCAGGCTGTGTCTGTCCTTACCAATGAAGTAAATTTCTGCTAAGCAACAGGTATGTAGCCTTGGGTTTGTATTTCCATTTGGCCAAACTACATCTTTTACTGATTTATTTGAAAGGCAGAGTGACACAGAAAGAGAGACATCTTTAATCTGCTGGTTTACTTCCCAGATGCCAGCAACAGCCAAGGTTGGGCCAGGTCAGAGCCAAGAATCAAGCAACCTGGGCCTCCCACAGAGATGACAGTGTCCCAAGTGTAACAGCCAACACCTGCTGCCTCCCGTGATGCACATTAGCAGGTGGCTAATCCAGAGTCTAGGAGAGACTAGATCCAGTACATCAGGCACCCCAAGCAGTGGCTCAGCTTGCTGTGCTGCAAAACTTCACTCAGTCTGCATCATTTGATGGATGAATTTAATCCGTTTAATTTAAGCTTATCGATAGGTAAAATCTTACTCTTTTGTTAACTTTTTCCTAATTGCCTTTGTATATTCTGTGTTCCTTTTTATCTCTCTTGTCACTGATTGTTGATAGTCTTGTGCAGAGGTAAGTTTTTACTCTTTTTCTAATGTATGTGTCTGTTAATCAGTGAGTTTTGTTCGTTAGCAACTGTTGTTCATTTGTAGAAATCCATTAAATGTGCTTCACAAGTGCAACCCCATTGTGATACAATTCCTTCAGTTTGGGCTTTTCTGGAAGTGGCTTTCCATTCTTGGCTCTCTGCAGGACTGATTTGCCAGTAGATCCAGCCATGTTCTAGAGGGCAGGCGCGTTGACGCAGCGCTGACCATATCATGCCGTTCTGTGCTGGACTGTCCCACTTTACTGGTGGTCTGTGCTGTTCTGATGGAAATGCTGCTGCCGTGGGTGCTCTGTCTCCGCCTGACAGCTTGCGCAGAGTGTCTGGTGTAATGACATTCACTTGCAGGTGCTTGAGTACAGAATTTGGTTGACAGTATCTCGAGATCTAAAATGTATCAGTTTCTAGAACACTGAATTCCCATTGTTCAACGGGGCTTCATAAATCTCCCAGATTTCTTCATTCATCCTAATTAGTTTCCTCTCATCTGGAAAAAAAAAAAAACTAGGACTCAAGTTCAGAAATTCTTTCTTCTGTTTATTTTAGCCCATTATTGAAGCTTTCACTTCCAGCTTTCAATTCATGGGCTCAGTCGTGATCCTTTAAGATTTCAGCCCTCTGTGCAGATGTCCACGTGCCTGTTGAGCTTCTCATAGTTTTGAAGATGGTTCCTCATCACCTCGGGAAATGACCTGTGTACTTCCCTTTGCATCTTGCTCTGTTCCCTTAGGATAATCAGGCATCTCACTGGCATCTGTGTTCCTTTGCAGGTGCCATGTGTCTTGCTTTCCCATATTTTCTGATGTCCCTGTGATGGTATCTACACATCAGGTGTGGAGTGTAGAGTAGACTATATGGGGAAAAGCCTTTTATAATATGGTGGAGCACAGAGCGCCGGTTGCACAGGCAGTTTGGCTTTGGTTCTGAGCGAGTACAGATACGTGACAGCCATGATTTCTTCTGTGACAGTCAATGCTGTGATGTGTACAAGAGCCAAAGGTCCAACCTGAAGAGGTCTGTTCAGGTAAAGGTGTGACTCTGTGGGATACAAGAATGTGACGCCCTCTTCTCTCTCTTGCAGCATGATGCCACTCTCTGCCTTGCGGGGTCTCCTGCTGCTCTACTGCTTGCTGCTCGTCACCCAAAGAAAACTTTCTGAGGAGATAGACATGTCCAGTTCTGACTGTGATGATGACACACGTTCAAGGTGCCAAAAGGTTTACCGTCCCATCACAGATAATTTCTTTAAATTGTACCAAAATCCCGAATATTGGCCAGAAAACACTAATGTTTTGTTCTCACCGATAAGCCTCATGGCTGTGGTTGCAATTTTCTCCCTGGGGACCAAAGCTGACACTCAAGCTCAGATCATGAAGTGCCTAGGGCTGTCCCGTCGGGAGCTGCCCATGAATCTGATCCAACAGTGCTTACAGTGTCTGCCCTACGTTCAGCACCAGCCGGATGATGAGCTCCAGCTGACTGCCAGCAGCCACCTGTTCATCGGCAACAACCTGAAGCTCAAGCACAGAGTGTTGAAGAACCTCAAGCTGTACCACGCAGAACGCACGTCCACGAATTTCACAGACACTAAAGAGGCAGTGCAGCAGCTCAGCAAGTATGCAGAGAAGGACACCCAGAGAGAAATCATGGGCTTCATCAAAGAGCATAACAAAGATGCAAATCTAGTCCTCCTGAATTACATGAACTTTCATGGTAAGATGGTAGCTGCTCTGGTTCGATCTAATGAGTGGATTGGGAGACATTCTCCAGCTACAAGGGCCTCAGCTGTCTTGCACAATGTGGCATGCAGCATCTCGGCACGGCCTCTGCAATGGGCCACACACAAACAATGGAATATTTTCCATAAACAAATTATTCAGGACAATGACATGTTGAGGACGGTGTCAACAATCCCTCTAGACTTGCCCGAGTCTGTGTCATCCTAATCCCCATTTTAAATCCCTCAGAGGGAGGAAACAAAACACTCAGTGTTTCCCAGCACAGAGGGCTAGGACTCAGGGCTGGTGGAGACTCAGTGAAGGGAGCCAGGCTGCATGGACACAGGGTGGAGCTTGTGTCACTGAGGCCGTCAGCCCTGGAGCCTGAACGACTCGAGTTCTCCCTGCCAGCTGCATTGACCTCTGACAGTCCTTCCTGTCCTTTCCTCCCTGGCAGGTGTTGGAGAGAATTCAGCACATTAGCGAGCATGTAGGGGCACCAGCAGCTGATCAGGCATTGTGGAGCGAAGCAGCAAACGGAAAATCCCTCTCCCTTTTTTCCCTCCAGCCTCTCTCTGTAACTCTGATTTCAAATACATCTTTATGAAAGCTACAGTCATCTCTCCCTCATGTTCTCTTGGCCATCTCTCCAGGAAAACTCAATGATGAATTTCAGACAGTGAGTGTGGCGGACGAGAACTTCTACGTAGATGAGAACACCACCATCCAGGTGCCCACCTTGTACAGCTGGGGCAGGTTTTACCTGCAGCGAGACGAGCTCCTGTCCTGCTGGGTGCTGGTTCAGTTCTACGTGGGGAACATCACTGCTTTCTTCTTGCTGCCTGACCGGGGAATGATGCAAAGGCTGACAGAAAGGTTAACCATACAACACCTCGAAAATATCAGGAAATTCATCGACATAAAGTGAGTTCCCTGATGACCCCGAGCTGCCCAGAGACCTGAGCCATGTCCGGACAGAGGGCAGGGAAGGCACTGCTACTGTGCCTGACCTGTGTGTTCAGAAATAGACATGACCTTGGTTCCCAAAGGGTCAGCCAGTCCCTGGATAGGGGCAGTGAGGGTCCTGTCCTTGGTGATGTCTCTCCATGGCAAGGATGCTGTCCCTTGCTTACATCCAGTGCACATGTCAGTGATGTCAGCTCCAACACAAGTTATGATGAAACCAAGTGCAAAGGATGGAGCTTCTGGGGAACAGGGAGCATTGAGTATGACGTTCACACTGAGCTGGGCCTGCTACATGTGCACTGCCAACAAACTGAACTCAAACACAAGGGTGAGACCAAAGATACACACGCAAGGGTTCCACCTCTGCCACACCCATGCCTGCCGGAGGTCTCTGCACCCAGGGATGAGAACAGAGAACAAGAGGGGGTGAACCAATCTGCCCCCTCCCCACAGCCCTTCCAGAGTCCTCCCTGCTCCCTTCTTGGTCTGCTCTGTCCCCTTCCCGCTCCTCCCTGGGACAGCTGTCACTCAGCCCCCACTATGACTCCCTGAGAAGAATTTCAGGGAGCACCATCATTGTGTGGGTCTGAATGACAAGTGCAGATGAGACATACTCTGAGCACAACATGCTGAACTGCCCAGAGGGCTTCTGGGGGAGGTGGCACTTTGGGGACTGCCAGGACAGATGACACCCCCTCTCACCCAATCTGGTGCTGGTGCTCTCGGCCATCAGGAGCACAGAAACCCAGCTGGAACCAACCAGGGGCGCTTCTTGTCTCTGCGTAGGTGTGGAGCATGGCACCGAGTGGGAAAAACATCTGGAAAAGGAGCCTTTGACAGCACGGAGAGACTCTGCACAGCATGTGCCTCAGCGATGTCATGGTTAAGAAATGTCTTCTGTTTCTCTCCTGCCTGGTAGGATTTACCACTTACGTTTTCCCAAGCTGAACAGCATCACAATCAGCAACCTGAATACCTTTCTGAAAAAATTAAACATCACCAAGTTCTTTGAAGATGAGAATAACTTCTGGGTGTCCAAGATTCAGGAGGAACCAAAGACATTTCCTGAGGTGAGCTGGCCCCGCCGACTGTGCTGTCCCTTTGTATATGGAGGGAGGGCATGGCAGGTGCATGGTCCAGGCAGAAGGCAGGGAAAGGCCGAGGATGAGCAGCAGGGGCAGATGTGGCTCCTCATGAGGGTGCACTTGACTGGCCAGCAGCAGGAGTGTCCACTGACACAACTGGGACGGGGCTTGTAGGAATTTCCCCTGGGGATGGGCCACTGACCCTCCACTTCATCATTGTCCTTGACCTGCTAGTCTCTCCATGTCTACACAGAGAAGCTAGGAGTTGGTGGTTTCTGTGGTTTTTTTTTTTTTTAAAGATTTATTATGTTGTTTATTGGAAAGTCAGATAGAGAGGAGAGACAGAGAGGAAGATCTTTCGTTCAATTATTCACTCCCCTTGCAGCTACAATGGCTGCAGCTGTGCCAATCCAAAGCCAGGAGCCCAGAGACTCTTCTGGGTCTCCCATTCGGTTGCAGGGTCCCAAGGCTTTGGGTTGTCCTCAACTGCTTTCCCAGGTCACAAGCAGGGAGCTAGATGGGAAGCAGGACCACCAGGATTAGAACCAGCACCCATTTTGGAATCCTGGCATGTTCAATGTGAGGACTTTAGCCAGTAGACTACCGCACAGGGCCTGGAGCCAGTGGTTTCAAGGGACTCCCTGGTCTCTGTCCTGTGGAGACAGGGAGTCAATGATATCTCCGAGTCTGACCACGAGGGAGTCCAACCACAGATGATTCATAGTCAGGAAAACTCACCGAGACTAGCAAAGAACAGATTGAGTTGTGAAATGGGTTCTGGGACCCTGTGGTGCTCAAAGCCCTCTACATGTTACCTACCCAGCCCTTGTCCCCAAGGACCAGGAAATCCCATTGAGAGAGAGGACAGTCCTGTGAGGCAGGCAGGGGGGACGTGGATATGAGCCCCTGCAGAGACTGGGCATTGTAGCCAGTGGGTGAAGAGCTGTAGGTTAGGAGGGGAGGGGACTCAGGCTAAGTGATTCTGAGGCTTGAGCCCCAAAGGAAGGCATGACAACTGCTCAGCATGGAGCCAAGGATGGTGCAGGCCCAGGCAGTGGAGAACAGGCAGCCCTGGAAAGTGGCATCCAGGCCCGGATGGAGAATGGCCACAGGCTCAGCTCCCGGCCCTGCTTCTCACTCCTGCAGCTTCTGCAGCAGGCTGTGCTGACCATGAGTGAGAACGGGACAGAATTCGAAGCGAACGCTGACACACTAGTGGAATACTCCTACAGGGACCTCACTGTCCGGTTCAACAGGCCCTTTCTGGTCATCATCGGCATTTGGAACGACTTCAATGTCAACATCCCACTCTTCATGGGAAAAGTGGTGAACCCCAAAAACATCTCCAGCTCAATTCCTATGCCTCAGCCCCCACCACCCAGCCATGTTCCCACCCCACCAAAGTAAAACCAGCTTGCTAAATGGTACAGGTCAGTTCTTTGCCATGTGGTCTCTGAGTCTTGCCACAGCATCCTCTCATGTGCCCACTGCATGCCTATTCATGAAGTGTCTATGCCCATGGGAACACTAGTTCACACTCTTTTGCTACCACACCATACCTAAGGTGGGCATGCTGTAAAGCCACAAGGTCTATTCAGCTCCCAGCTTTGAAAGGAAGAGCACGGGGCCAGCCGCTCTCAGCTCTGGTGCAGGTCTGAGGGTAGAATGCCTTGCCTTGGTGGAAGCACAGTTGTGGGCTGACATATCCTGGTGAGACAGGAAGTCAGAGGGCGAGCCGGGGCCAGCCTTGCCCTTTGATCACAGCCCTCTCAGAGTGAGCCACGTGACCTCTTTCTTTGAGCAGTCCCCCAGGAACCTCCCACTGGGTTCTCCACCTGACACAGGTACCACCACCTCTCATGTCACCCCCATAGGGACCAACCTTCACAGCCTGTGAGCCTTTGGGGAACACACTCGCGTCCTAGTGGAACCACTGCAATGGCACGGGCAGGACCACTGCCAAAGCGGCTGGCCCCATGATGAGCCTCTCCATCTGCGTTCCTAGGGCAGTACTGCAAGCTTACCCACCTGGCTGGGGATCTCCTGAACTCACAGGGCTCAGACGTGGGTTCTACCAAGTGCTCCACATAACTATTCCTTCCCATAGGCCACCATCCCCTAAATGGCACATCCTAAATGGTACCCCACCACTTCGGTGGCACTCCATCACTGCGGTGCTCCCTGCCACAACTCCAGCCCTGCCCAGCTGCATCTCCAACAATAGACAGGAAGCCCTGTCCCCAGAGCGACCCCTCACCAGGTTGCCTTCTTGGGGTATTTCCTACAAACAGTTCAGGCCAGCTGGTCATCCAGCCCTTTCTCCATAGGCCTGGACCTGGACACCAATCTCTGTCCATGGCGTTCTGTCACCACCCCCAGGGACCTGCACATCCTTCCTACACACAGGTACCCCAAGGGGCAGAGTCAGCTCATGCTCCCCGGTACTCGTGTGCTCCTCCACACAGAAGAACCCAGACCACCAACAAGTGGCTTCATCTCAAGGTGAATGAGCACCCTGGAAGTCAGCCAAGGGGACAGGCACATAGCCTGGTAGAACCTAGAGGCCTGGGACAGCCTCACAAAGGGTAAGGCTGCTCTAGCAACCTGGTTCCCATGCTCAAGGCCACAGGGGAGCCTGATGCAGAGTGAAAGCAGACAGGTGCACCCCAGGGGATGGCATACTCCCATACACCAGACACTGGCTATGCTAGCTGAGGAAGGAGCCACGGGCCACATAGCCCTGGAACCTGGTAAGAGAACTCCTGGCGCAGGCTCTGCAGCTTTCCTTCTGGAAATCTCACAGTGCCAGCTTGAGAAAGGAGCTACTGCTTGAGCAGACAGAAGCCCCTGCATGTCCTCTCCTGGGGCCACCACAGATGTCACCCCACATCAGTGAAAAGGACACACCCTCACGCACCCCAGTCATTCCCAGACAAGCAACTAAGACTCCTGGGCACTAGTACTTACAAAAAACCACTTCACAGGATCAGGTGGCTGCACTCTAGATCTGAGAACACCACCTCACAGGGTCAGGTGGCTGTACCACCTGGATCTGAGAACCTGCACCTCACGGGGTCAGGTGGCTGTAGCACCTGGATCTGAGAACCAGCAGCTACTGTCCCTCAGACTGGAGACCTCTCCCCTCCAGGTCTCCCCTGCCCCCTGGAACATCTCATATGGCCATGGGAACCCACGACTGTCCCAGGGATGCTGGGCTCCAGTGCAGCAGGCCCACAGGGACTCAGGTAAGACTAGAAGAGCATCTTATAGCACGAGGACCCTATCCAGTTGCTGGTACTCAGAATTCTAAAATCTGCCAGATTAACATACCAGCTCAGTCAGGGGGACCCCACTAGAATAGCAGCAGGATCCCGGGGTGTCCTAGCTGTGCTCAGGGAGCAGCGCTGGGGTAGATGCACAGGGCGGGCTCAGCTCACCTGGCCCAGGCAGTGCATAGAACCTGGGAACCATAACTGAGCGTGTGTGCCACTCTGCCGGCATGTGCAGGCTCTGCCCTGCAGGGAGCGGTGTCGGCACCCGGAGGGATAGAGGCCGAGGGCCTGGCCCAGGCAGGACCCAGTCTGAAAGGAAAGGCCCAAAGGATGTGGCACTTGCCCTCAGATGCAATCAGAGACGGCCTGGCCAGGTTTGGAGCTACACCAGGTGGAACTGCACGATGGGTTCCTGGTCTCATGCTCAAGTGCCTGATACATGTACATGTGTGTGGGACTCCAGAACTGCTGGTGCAGCCCTGCAAGCTACCTGCACTCCTGCGGAGCATGTAGGCTCCATCAGCTGCCATCTAAGCTGCTACAGGGTAAGTGCTTGACCCCACCCCACCCAAGGGAAACTGAGGCACGTGACGCTGTGCCTTGTGTCAATAGGAGAAGGGTTTAACACATTACTGACCCCGGACCCACCTTGCAAGTGGAGTCCCTGCCCCACATTTGATCTGAGAGTTCTGTCAACAGCTCAGTGGCTTGTCCTAGTGACCACTTGTGTCCCAAACCCTGGCCCAAGCATTGACAAAGAAATTCTGGTCTCTCTAGGAAAGCATAAATGTGTGGGAAGGAATAGGCGACAATAGAATCAGGCTCTAGCGCAGTGCCTACGGAAGAGCAACTGTGTGACACACGACAAATACTGAATCCTCTCTGAATTTCGCCTTTAAATGGAAATTGCTTGGGAGGATGGGGAGAAATAAATGCAGACGTGAAACCTTGCTCGCAGATCTGACCTGCCGGGGTAGTTCTGCTGGGCAGAGGACAGGGGCTGCTGGGGGTTCCAGCCCATCACAGCTGCTAGCACAGCTCCACAGGACGTTCTAGTCCTTGTACAGCTGTTCTCTGGGCACCCCTCCTGCCACAGGGACCTTGACCTCCGAGCTGGGGCTCCTGGCCTGAGAGGAAAGGTGTACTCATTAACTCCTCAGATAACCCGGGGCTGCCTCCCCCGTTCCCACCTGCCCTTTCCTTATCTCGGTTCATGGTTCCATCCCACCTACGGCTGAGCTCACCGGCTCCCTGACCTGTCTCCAGCCCTGCAGCTCACCTGATGTAAACGTAGCTACTTCCAAGTGGAAATGTGCCAGATAAGACAAGTCAGCAGTGACAAGCAGGGACCTCCCTGGAGGTGGGTGGGGACACCCTAACTGGGTCTTTGGAGATGCCAGGGAGAGCAGTAGCAGATGAGTGGCAAGGCAAGGGGAACTAGGAGGGATCAGACCGCAGGAAGAGTCGACCTGCACACTCAGGATGAACACCACTGACATGGTGTTCGACCCTAGGGCAGGCAAGAGACTAATGTACAGAAACACATGCACTTTAGAAGAAACTATTGATTTCTGATTTTTACATGTATGTATACTCTTTCTAAATAAAATAGAAACTCCCTAAATCATAAAACTGAGAATTGATGTGTTTGAACTTACAAAAGGCAAATCATATGGCACGGGAAAAAAAACTGCTTAATTCCCCCAGAAAACATGGCATTTATAAACACATACACCCCACAGAGTGGCTAGATCCAGCGAACACACACAGGACTCTCCACCCAGCAGTGCCTGTGGGGCGCGTCCTGGGAGAGACAAGATACTAAGCCTCAAAGCAAGTCTTAATAAATTTTAAAAGATTGAAATCACAAAATAATGTTTTTTTAAAATCACATGGAATGAAATTAGTAATCAAAAGCAGAGGAGACCTGGAAAATGCACAGATTCATGAAAATTAAGCCACACACTCTGAAGCAACCAAGGAAGCTACTAGAAGGGAAATTAGAAATCACCTTCAGAATTAAAATATGTCATTTATTATAAATGAATAAGTTATGTGTGCTATGTTGTTATGTATTGTAAAGTGTAAGTTTATGGGTTATAACAAATACAGTGCTAAGAAATAAATGTGTATCCATGAACAGGTGCATTAAAACAAGCGAGCTCAGCAGTAGCCACCTGGCTGGGAGTTCACATGCCACACACACTGGAGTGCTGGGTGTGAGTCCCAGCTGGGCCTCCAGTGCTGGCTTCCGGCCACAGGACTCACACGGGGCATCGGGACTCAATGCCTGACTCCAAGCTTTGGTCCAGCCCAGCATTGCCCACTCACAGATACTTGGAAGAATGAACCTATAAAACAGGAGCACCCTTGCCATATCTCTATCTCAAATTCTAAAAAGAAGAAGAAGCACTTCCAATACACAACTTTACACTTTTAGAAACCAGGGGTAGGGGGCTGGAAGAACTGAATAAACCCACAGCTAACAGAAGACATGAAATTAAGATTAGAGATGTGCAATTAGAGATGTGCAATTTAAAGTAACAGGAACAACAATAATGGCAAGTAATAGAGAACAACAAGAGCTGCTTTTTTAAGATTAAAAAAAAGCATTTTGTTAGATTAAGACAAAAAGAAAATTTACATAAATAAAATTAGAAATGAAAAACAATATAAGAGGTTACAAAAATGATTATAAAACAACATTATAGCAATTGAGTACCAGATGATGGCATAATCTAGCTAAAACAAATTAATTCCTAGAAATACAAAATGTACTGAGACTGAATCACATAGAAATACAAACACTAAACAGACATGTAACTAGTGTGGACATTGAATCAACAATCAAAAACCTCCCAACAGAGAAGAGTCCAGAGCCAGATGGATCCACAGCTGGTTTCCACACAACACATGAGGCAGAATTCATGGCAATTGTCCTGAACCTTTAAAAACATTGTAAAGCAAGGAACACTTCTTAACTCATGTCTATGGGGCTGTAATTACCCTGGTACCAAAGCCACACAGAAACACTACTTGAAAACTACAAATCAATATTGCTTATGAAAACTGATGCAAAAATTCCCAACAAAGTACTAGCAACAGAGTTCAAGAGTACAGTAAGAGGATCAAACA